TTTTTTTTTTTTTTGTTAATTATTAGAATTGTTTAAAAAAAAATGAATATTCTGAACAATTTTTTAGCCAACTTCATTCAAATTCTGTTTTGCCATGATAAACCCAGACCAAGTTAGCCCGCAATCTGTCCGTATTTAGCACTAAAACACTAAACCTTTTCAAAACCTAAAAATGGAAAGATTCAATTATTTTGAATTCTTTAAATTTTAAAAAAAAAAAAAAGTATTTAAAATGTTTAAAACATACTGTTTGCTATCTGCGCTTTAGTTTTAGCAGCAATAATTATTGGGTAAATTTATTGGCCCAAGTGAAGATAAATCAAGAATAGAAAAAAGCAAAAAACATTCAGCAAATATGTTTGCTCTGATTTAATCAGAAAATAAAATTAAGTTTTATTTGAGGGGGGAGGGAAAAAAAAATAGTATTTTCATCTAGTTAACTAAGTTTTTTTTCTTTGCTTTTTTTTTTTTTCCATCTCTCCTCTTTTTTTCTTCCGTATCAGCAACAGTAATTTATGTTTTTAAAAAAAAAAAACAAAATTCTTAGAACTTAAGCATTGGTTGCTGACTGATTATTTATAAAAACTTATCAGAAAACGTTGAAATCCAAACGACATACAGACAGCAGATCTATGATAAAGTTAAGAAAAAATAGTTTTTGTTTTTTTTTCTAAAGTTTTTAAAAACAAAAAATAGACTCAAAAATCATTATTTTTCCTTGCTTTTCAACAGTTATAAATCAGCGATAAAAACGGCAACAACAAAAACAAAAACAAAAAAAAAAAAAGGCAAGAAAAAACGCCTTGTTAACATTCTTTCATCAAAAAAATTTCAATTTAATGTAATATATAATCTTTCTAAATTTACTGTCCTTCTTTTTTCTTCTTTTTCTCCCCCCCTTTCTTGTTACCCTCCGTTCCTTTTAGAATGGTTTCAGCTTGTAAGCAATAAACTTCTTCAAACCATGCTTATAAGTTGGCTTGGAAAAATTTTATTAACCACACATTGATTTTTTATTTCCACCTACTCGTTGTTTTCGCATAATCAAATTTATGCTAATATGTATTCCGTATTCCGTTTTGCTGTTGTCTGTTTATGACGGCTATAGTTCACTGCTTTAATTATACGTATATCCATCCAAACTTTAGTCTTCGTTTTTTTGCTCCTCTTTTTATTTCTATTCCAAGCAACATATTTCATCGCCCGTTTACCACCAATCCTTCAAACGATTGCTCCTTTTTTTTTTTACAACAACATTTGACCAGACTAAGAAATAAAATCAATAAGAAAAAAAAAAATCGCCTTTGACCACTGAAAATAATCTATACGCTCTCACCAGTACAAAAATGCAGACAATGACGGCATAAATCCATCCAATTTACTCTGATATATAACTGATCTTTAACAGATTTTTAAAGCAATGACAAATTAAGTGCAGGAAAAAAGAATGTTGAGAAAAAAATTGCTATAGAAGATTTAAAACACCAAAATTTTACAGACATCACATAGACGCACAATGCAGCAGCAATGTTTTGTTTTCTTTTATTCTCCATCGTTTTATTTCAAATGAATTTAATAAAGGAAAAAATAGAAGCAAAGAAGAAAAAAAAAAAA